GAAAAAGGGAGAAGGAACCTAAGGGACTTGTGAAGTTCTCCTACCATCCACAGTCAGTATAAGACTTCAACTACCAAACCTCTTATCCCTGCAGTTAATTGTGCTTAAATGGTCTATAGCTTGATACATCTGTTCCTTGCAATGTCTCCTATTCTTAACTTCTGTTCTGAATTTGCAAAAAGCATGAAATAAAATACTATTCAACTTTTCCTAGAAATAAAAAAAACCAAAACACTTTCTAGACAAATTTAGGGCCCTAAAATTACTGTTACTTCCTGAAAACTCAAGCCTGAATTTCTAAACTTTCAGGGGAAACTCAGCATTTTTTAAACAACAAATTCTGCAAGGCTGTGGATGAAGCCTGGCAAAGAACTGTTCTCTAAACAGCAAGGCAATTTAGTCCTATGCCTGTCACCATTTGTGACTCTCATCATTACAGCACGTCTTGTAACAGAAGCATCTTTCGGAGTTTTGAGGAATTGTTTGTTTTCTTGTTTAAACACTGCAGTAGAGGGGAGAAAAATCCTGAGAAAACAGAAAAGAGAAGGTAGAAAGAAGCTGAATACACAGGCAAAATGGAGTGAGTACAGCCACCACAGCCAACAACTGGCCTGATGGACAGCAGAGCCTCATGCTAAAGGATTAGAAATCATCCCTGAAAATGTTTAACTAAGGCATTTGCGTGACAGCCAAAGCAAACAAGAAGAGGCATACAGAAGTGTGGTGAGGCTTTAAAATACTATTTGCAAGACTGAAGGAGATCAGGAACTCAACAAACCAAAGTTGTTGGTGCCCATTCTGTTTTCCAAAGTAACAGATCTAAGAAAGGAAATCACTCATGACCTCACACAACAAGCAACTGATGTTTTCAGGGAGAGCTCTGCAGCCAGCAGACATTCCTTGGACTGCTTTTCTCAGCTACCCAAACAGCAAGTGCTCTTCTCCCATCACTTGACCTGCAGCCTGTCTCAGAGTGCCCTCCAGGAAAGCCAAGACATGCTATTCTTCTGCAGGGCAGGGGCAGATGTCACTGGCTTCCCATCCCCACCAGCAAGTGGCCACTGGGCCTGGGCACACAAGCACCAGCAGCTATGGTGGGATCACTTCTATACTGCACATGGACACCGTCAAAGGGGACCAGCAATCATGTTCCTTGCAGTGGACTTGATTTGAACCCATGAGGTTATGCTAAAACTACAGCCCAGGAGGCATTTGAAACATTCACAGTGCATTCTAAGCACACTGTTTCTGAACATGTGTCGAATAATCCCATTACTTTACCACTCTAGAAAAAAAAATCCACTGTTGCCTTTGGCATCTGTCTCCACACCTCTTCCCCACTCTTCTCTGGCATGTGATGGTGGTGGTATTTGCTGCTGTTACTGAGATGCACGAGATTATGCAACTGTCTAGCATTTTGATTTAATCAGCTAGGGGAAAAAAACCTGCTCCAAATTCTATTAATAACTAGCAGCCAGCTCCCTCCTTCCCTCCCTCCTCAAATTCCCTTAGAGGGAGGATCACAGACAGATCCCTGCAAGAACAAACTAGCAGCCTGACTGGATCAATAACATCCACAGTGCCAGGAATTTGCAACGAATTCTGGGTAATTAATCTGCCAGGGAAAGACAACCTTAATTAAGAACAGCCAAGCTGTTCTTTTCCAAACCTTTAGATTAAAAAAGCCACAGTATTGGTTTGACCGAGGATTTTGGTCTAAATTTTAACGGGTTTTGTGTTCCTAACAAATGTTTTGAAAGCAACCATGCAGGCAGCAGTAAAGTCTTCACTCAACAGTCACAGGGGCAACCCCTTTACTTTGCTTTCTTGACACCACACTAAAGGTGAATGATTTCATGCTGGGGAGAAGCACTGGCTTCACAGCTGGGATGGACAGTGCCATGGAGAGCTTGCCCCATCCTCATATAAAGGGTCCAGAGTTGAGATAAAACTGTGACCTTCCCTTCTCTTCTTCTCAGGAAGAGCATCCAGGACAAAAGGTTTCCTCACTAGCCCAAAGTCCCTGCTTTTTCGTCCCTTTCAGGCAATCCTGGAAATACCATTTGGGAGCAAAGGCAGTTTGCCAGCACCCATATTAGGCTGCAAGCAGCTATTTGGATATGAGCAGTTGTACAGGTCACTCTGAAGTTCCTGAAGCAGCTGCTGTCACAAGGCAGTGAGAAATCCTCCCAGGCATCACATGATGATTCAGGAGGAGTATTGGTTATATTTCAGAAACATGGGATTTAAGTTCTTTGTTCTTTTGCTTCTGGTTCTACTTCAAATTCTTAATTTAATGCATTGTAAGTATCTATGGCAACACGTATCCTAGTATGCTCAGTGTGCTCAGGACCTTTTTCTGGTGCTGATGCCAACTGGTACAGACTCAGCCATGTCCAAACTCTTTTTCCTCAGGGCAAAAAGTCCAAAGGGTGGGCACATCCAAACTGTGTATTGCTTCTGATCTGTGTTAACTCCTGAGCCTTGCTGGGTGCTCTCATGGAGACAGCCTGGGCCAAAAGCATGTCAAAAGCTGTGCTAACAACTTACCAAGACAATCCTGGGAGTGTTTCCTGGGCATCCATTCATGATGGAGGACATGTCTCAAACAACTTAGGTAGGGTAGATGCAGAAAGTCCCAGGAAAATCCTCCCAAACCGGGCACTATACCCCAGCAAGGACTTAGCTGAGAGCAAAACCTTCCTGAAGCAATTTGCACATCCAGTTTTGAGGGCCTAAAAAAGTGTGTTCTTTTTATTTCTCCAAAGTAGAAAGGCTGTTTTGGTCTGTGAAACATGAAACAGTTGATTACATCTCTGCCTTAACACAGTGCAAACAAGGAGACCAAACAGTTCAGGACAGGATAGCTCTGGAGGCACTGGGTAAATCACAAAGAAATTCCAAAGATTTTCAAAGGGATCACTAATTTCACCAGCCCTGCTCATCTTTGCTGGTCAAACTCTACTCATCTGTCTGAAGCCAAGGAGGGTCTCCATATTTATGGGGGAAAATTAGCATTTTCCCTAATGGTATCCTGGATACAGGGTAATTATGGTAAAGACTGATGAAAATCGTTTAACTCCTACTATGGGGACAGCATGATGACAGCTAGATTAAAGATGTCCTTTATAAACCATCACAGAGCAAGAGAACATGATAATGAATGAGTTAATTACACTAGCATTTAAGGCTGATACTACCCATCTGCTGCTTTGATTAATTAAAACTCTGATGGACAACAATGAGGCCCTTCTCAGGTCTGAAAGCAATTAATTGCCAAAGTCCTCAATAAATCTAACAGCATCACTGGCAGAAGAGACCACTTCGAACAGCCCCAGAACAGAGGCAGCAGAGCATATCATGGAGTTGAAAGCGTCCCCACCTGGTGCATTAATCTTTTGATGTAACACTGGGAGCTGGGGCCTAGCAATTTTAATTTCTTGTTTGATCTCCTTCTCTCTCCCCTTTCTTTCTCTCCTCTCAACATCAGTGGAAGGTGCAGTCTCAGTAAAGGACATGAATTGCTGAGGAAATTAAGGAGGCTTTGGCCCTTTTTGTCCTCTGTCCAGACTCTCCAATCTGTAATGAATGGGTTAAATATTGCTCTTGAGTTTCTGTTCTCCTTGGAATAGTTGTAACCAGTCCTGACAAAGCAGGATTTTGGAAATGCAGTGGGGAGCTGAACTCTTCCAATGTTTCCAGTGTTCATCATTCAAAGAATGACAAAAAGAAGAACTAGTTGCTCAGAAAGTGGTGGCAAATTAAATTTTCCTGTGGGAACCTCAAGGAAAGACTCAGAAACCAGACACAGACTGTGTGCCCTGACTCAGTCAGGAGCAAAGAGAGGGCATGAGGAACAGAACCATAGAACATCCTGAGTTGGAAAGGACACATAAGGTTCATTAAGTCCAACAAGACGAATCTGATCAAAGGACTGTCTACTGTGAGAAATCCTAGACTCCAGGACCACTTTCCAAAGAAGTAAAAAGGGGAAATCCCTAATGCACAACCATTTAAATGGAAAAGATGTTGTCTGTGTACTGCAGGGAAAAATGGCCACAGCCAGTGGGAAGGAATTAGTCCTTTTCATTTTTTGCCCTCTGTCTGCACTGATCATCAGTCTTGCAAACTAAGCCTGGCTGGGACACAATGGGATTTTGAAGGAACACCATGAAAGACCATTTTCTTTTGCAGCAAACAGGGCTAGATGACACCTAGACCATCTTCAAAGCCAGCGCAGCTTATATGTGTAGTTTGGAGACCTTGCACTGCAAGGAGTTGCTTTTTTCAGAGGGAAAAAACCTTTTCTTCCATTTTTATCCTACTTAGGCATTGTTAAGCAGTTCTTGCATTTCACCTCAAACAGTAACAACTGAGGAACTAAGGCTTCTTCATACTACAGATCCAGGACAATGATTAATAACAATTATCATCAGTGATTAGTTAATACGACCATAATACAATAATCCCACTGACTGCCAGTCAGTTTTAGGCATCAGCGAGTTGAAGAACAACAGCTGTTCTCATTAAACACTGCCTCTCTCCTGAGGACAAGGGGAGAATCCTCCTTACAGCAGCAGCCTCAGCTGAGCATGATGCAGGCTGCAACTTCCCATAGCTTTCCATGCTGGAATGGCACAGGAGACAGTGGGATTAGACATGTTGAAGTTAATACAGAGATCACTGCTCTATAATCATAGGCTGGTTTGTGTTGGAAGCAACCTTAAATGTCATCTAGTTTCAATCCCCTGGAATGATCCAGAACACCTTCCACTAGCCCAGGTTGCTCAGAGCCCCACCCAACTTGGCCTTGAACACTTCCAGGGATGGGGCATCCACAACTTCCCTGGGCAACTTATTCCAGTGTCTAACCACACTCACTTTAGAGAGAGGGTGATTATATTCTGGGTCTTTAGTTCAGTAATTGAAAACAAACTACCTATTGAAGAGTAAAACAGGAGCAAGTAAGCAGAGGACAACAAGTACGGGGCTTTTGTTTCAAACTACAGTAGCTGGTTCTTAAAGTGTTTCAGGGGGGTTCACTATGGAAAGGAACTTTTAACATACAAGTAGAGTAAACAACAGACCCCTTTTCCAGTTACAGAAAAAGAGGTAAATAATTAAGGAAAGAAATAGATCTGAAAGGGCAGTGGTAGGAAGGCACTTTCCAACAGATGCAGCAGCCATTTCCAAATACTAATAACTCTTTGTCTCCATCTAAACAAAGGAGGGTGAAAGACAGATGCCACATCCATACCTAGATTTCCCAGGAGAAAAATGGAAGAGAAATTAGGACAGACCAGATGTTCAAAGGATTAACATTATTGAAGAGTAACCGAAACACAGGAGGAGCTGTCATTGCTCAGGTGAGCCCCAGCTGCCCCAAGGTATGTCTGTACCATGCAGAACAGAAGCATGCAGGTGTGCCCTGGGCATCTCAGAAAAGCCAGCTAGATCAGAGTCATGCAAGTATCTCTTCAGAACACCGGGATCCCCTGAGCCCAAAGGGCAAAAGAAAGTTAATCTTCTGCCAGTGCATTTTAAGCCATCTTCAGAAAGCAGATAATGCAGCATGTCTCTGCAGATCAGTTGACATGACAGATATGTACAGACATGTGCATCCACTGTGGAGTGAATCCATCACTCAAACTAAGATTTGGGTCAGATTTTCTGACTCCATCTGCAACTCAACTAAAGACCACTCTAAAAAGAGAGAGCAAGAATGGGGTAGGGGTTTGGGGTTTTTCAAATTTCTTTACTTTCAGTCCCTTCCCAGTATCACACATTTAAGTGATCTTATGCTCCAAATGTCCTTCCTCTCTTGTCCAGCCCCCAAAAGACTGCACATTCAGAAAAGGTACCAAGGAACTGCTCTCCAAGGGCAGGGATATTTTTTACCCCGTTTTAGGTTTAAGCCCACTTCACATACTGACTTTTAATGTTAAAGCCATAACTCCCTCCAAAAAAATCAGGTTAGAAGAAACAACTTTCATAACAACATGAAAGCCTTGCAGCATACTGCAAGCAGAACCATCGTTCCAGGCTCCCTGCATTGGCCATTACAAGGTAAGATGGGGATGTGGGTATAACTTTAGCTTCAAATTTCTTTCTTACCACTGTCAGTTCAAGGTAAGCCCCAATGTTATTTTTATCCACTGTATAGACCAGGTGCTACAGAAGTACTTGGTGTAACCTGCCACACTGCAAAACAAGTGTCATATTGAATTAGTGATTCTCTACTACACTTCTGTCCTGTTCATCCACAAACAGGCATGTAGTAGAAGTGTAATAAAAATCACTTTCTAACTCTCATTTTATAAATCAATTAATACCTACAATTACCCAGCACTATTGACATGGACAGTCAAGAGAAGCATTAATTAGACTGGCACATTAGACCCTTGTTAATTACATTCTCAGTTCTCAATGTCAGGAGAGTCTCTCTACCTTCAGAAGCTGTGAGAGGAGGAAGAAAAGAGAATAAAACCAACTCTTCTCTGATGTTGTGTAGTTCTTGGCTAACCAGCTGCTGTAGTGTAGCTGCCTTATTTTCACATATATGTAGTATCTGGACATGCAGAGGGACTGATTTTATCTGCAAGAATATAAAAAAATAAACATCTCTCTGCTGAAGTCAGTGAAACTGTATTGGTATGTAAACCAGCAAAAATACAATCAAAATGCAACACATTGGTCCTAGCATTTTGATTTTGGTCTGAGACCTGCAATCACAGATTTTGTTTCAGAGTATTTCACTCAAGTCTGGAGTTGAGCAGTTTGGTTCAGTTCAGCTGATAAGAATGCAGTTCAAGAGACGGAAGCACCATCAAGGTTTGAAGGAATTAGAGATAATTTTTGATTAAGGCTCCACTCTAACCTGACCTATTTTCCCCTCACCCATGTATATGGTACATCTTTTAATATCTTCCTCTCCAACAAAATTATTACACTTTTCTCATGCCTTTCCATCTCATGTCCTTAACACTGCATTTTCACACTTCCTTCACAGATGGCCTCTGAGCCAAATATCCCTTCTGAAGCACAGAAAGGGGAAAGATGCCTGTCCAAGAAACTGTAAAAGATGTGTTGAATTTACCAAAGGGCTCAAGAACTGCCCAGTAAGTTGGTCTCAAACAAAGGAGTACTGGAAGTTCATTGTTCCTCTTGCACAAAACCTGAACAAAGCAAAGGGTGTACCAGAAATGACAAACGAGGGCTTGTGCTGAGCAGTACTAAAAACTGCAGTTAAAGTCTTGCTCAAAGCTCTGCACAGACAATTGACCTAAACTACCTCCCCTGGGGGTAGAAACTCACAGCAAAACTACAAAGTAGAACTGATAAGCCCTAATTACAGGTACCACCAATTAACTACCAGCACATAAAATATGGCTGGTAGCACACAAGATCTGTGAAATCCTTTCATATGCTTCGATTTGCCAGGCAGACAACACCACCAACTCTGATGGCACATTCCTGCATTGTCTCCTCCACCAACCAAGCTGCAGCAGACAGCAAAGAGTGCACGAACAGCCTCTTGCAGAGAAGCAAGTGAGTTTGGAGCCCTCTTGGATGCTCCCACAGAATTAAGCATAAACAGATTCCTTTAATAGTTTTGCAAATGCTCTTTTAGACATTTTAAAAAGCAATCAAGGGAGTGAAGGCCTATTTGAAAGGGAGTATGTTTGTTGCATTTGGAGCGAGGATCTCAGGCAGCTGCATGAGACAGTGAACCCTACACATTGGGCTACAGCAGTGTCCTGGTTTCAGCTGGGGGAGAGTTAATGTTTTTCTTAGTAGCTGGTACAGTGCTGTGTTTTAGATTTAATATGAGAATAATGTGGGTAACACACTGATATCTTAGTTGTTGCTAAGTAGTGTTTACCCTAAATCAGAGCCCCACCTGAGGACTGTGCCTTCCCTCCTCTAACAGACAGGGCTGGAGTACCAGCTGTGCAGGACGACAGCACTGAAGTCGTGAATTTACAGATCCCCAGTTGTTGCTTGTAACACTGAGTAGTTCACAAGCCAGCTTGGTGCCAACAAATAAGGGAAGTTTCGTGATGACTTTTCTTAGGTCACCAGACCACCACATCGATCTTGCTAGATCAGCTAAGTGCAGGTGCTCTCTCAGCTGCACTATACAAATTCAGACACAGCTCCATCCAGGCAACACAGTGACCCCAAAAACCTCAGTGGCACGGACTCAGCTCAAGGCCATCTTTTTTGCTGAATAGGTGGAGCCAGCATCAGATGAGATGGCTGAAGCTTTTGCTTTAGGATCACAATTCTATGTTGACTTCTCTGCAGCCTGCACCAGCTTTCAGTCTTGAAAGCATACATGGGTGACGCTCTTTCCTTCCTCATGCTGATCTACAGATCAATATGAACCTCTTTATTATCTAATTATAGCTGCAGGGGGCTCTTCGCAGCTCGAGTACATTTGTCTCCCTGTGATGTTAATACAATCAGGCACAAAGATCACTTCATTAAAAGATCATCTATGCTCAGTCTTATTTGAGCTAAAAAAATCACTCCTTTGTCACACAAACTGTATGGAAAAAAGTGCAAAGCTGGATGACTCGCTGTAGCCCAGCGAGCAGAGTTCAGCTCCAAAGAGCAGCTGGAGGAAGAGCTGTCACTAAGTAAATGCAGCACTTCCACCATGATTCAGATGGAGGATCTATTCACTGCACAGATAAATGGGCACTCTGCAATCATGTATGGAAGTGAGGAGTACATTGAATGTAAGGTGCAGAGTATCTGTGGCAAACCCACAGCAAAGTTTAGCTCTCCTTTACTGTAAAATGATGTCTTTTTTTTTTTTTTTTCAGTCCACTCCCTTCACCTTTCTACTATATATCCCTCCTGAAGTGCAAAATACAGGGTTTGTTTATTCATAGTGCAGTCAGATAGACATTGTCCTCAGAGCAAAGAGGCTCTCAGAGCAAAGTAGCTGGTGGTCCAGAGGGGATGTTGCCTGCAAAGGAGGCTGAGAGCAAATGCAGCTCTAGGTTGGTGCTTCACAGTCACCTGGTAGATGTAGATGTAGCTTCCAGCTGGTCACCAAGTGAATATTACAGAATTACAGAATATACAAAAGAGCACATCTTCAGTGGTAAAGACTAAAATTAGAGATTAACAGCCAAGAGGAATGAGGTAGAGGAAGGATTTGAATTTGAAACTGTTAGTGCTAGAAAATGCTTTAGCCTCTTGAGTAGGATATACAATAAGGGGGTAAGGGAACAGCACGACCAGCTTGCCTTCACTAGATTTTTTTCAGATCTAACCTATTTTTGCAGACATCATCTGAGGACACCTACCCTCAAGGCCTGTGGTTGGAGAACAGTTTCTTTGTAAACTCTGCAAGGAAATCAATGCAGCCTTGGGACATGGTAGCATGCACAGATAATCTGCAGGCAGAGCACAGCCTTTGCTGCTGTGTCCCAGCACAAAATGGACATCTTAAAAATCCCCCACAGAAACAATCTTGCCTTGTCTATAACTAAATTTCTAGCAATACTGACCTATCTGTGTTCATAATACCCCTCTACATTATAAATTACTCATCTGAAAAATAGGAGCAACACAATCTTCTTTTGAAAACCTCAGGATGAAAGTAAGCTATTACAGCACTCTCTGTGCCACTAAGTTATTAATAAACACACAAAGTTCTGAAATCTTTTTAGCAGATTCTCACTGAGAAAACCCTACCACCTGTACATGCTAGAAATTCAGCAGCAGGGAAACCAGAATCCTTGGTTCATCATTCGTAGAAGGTTCTGGACATGAATTAAATACACCTGCTTAAGACCAGAATTGCTCATATAGCAGCACTATAATGCAAGTTGATTTCACCTTATCACCCAAAATGATTTTCAGGAACTAGTGATCACAGGAAGACTCAGGGAGATATAATTATCCGTCACCAGGTTGACACTGGCCTCAGAAAACAGAGATTAGTTGTACAGCAGAAATAAGATGAAAAGCTATAATGGAGCACCCTAGTGCTAAAGAAAATAAATTGGCAAGAGGTCTACCATGCAGCACTGGAAAAATAGCTGTTCCCAGAGATGGTGCCTTGAAACCTCCTTGGTATCCTTCTGGAGAGGTGAATTTTGAAAAGCCATTAACAGAAGGATTTGAGGGGTCTCATTCCAGCCCCCAAGTGGTTGTGACTCCCAAACCTGGAAGTGCAGCACACATTGCTGATTTCATCTGAAGGCAAGAGCTGAGACTGGAGCACAGCAGCAAAACAGACTGGAGGAAGCTGTCATATGGCTGGAGATGCATCCTAGTAAGAGGGCAAAACTGGACAGACACCTGTAGCCAAGTTCAGAAGTGCTTTGTACGTGCATATGACACAAGA